TCTTCCTCTCTCTCTCTCTTCCTCTCTCTCTCTCTTCCTCTCTCTCTCTCTTCCTCTCTCTCTCTCTTCCTCTCTCTCTCTCATCCTCTCTCTCTCTCTTCCTCTCTCTCTCTCTTCCTCTCTCTCTCTCTTCCTCTCTCTCTCTCTTCCTCTCTCTCTCTCTCTCTCTCTCTCTCTCTCTCTTTTTTGACTGATTGATTGACACAGAATTGATATCATTCACATAAGATTATTGACTAATGTATTTAAGAATTAACTACTGAAGATTGTTTTCTTTCTTCTTTTTTCTTTCAATTTTAAGAATAAAGATCAGTTGTTACGGGACTAAGGACTTCACATGTATAATAGATAATGTCTAAATAGTTTTTCAGTCATCGCCAGTTTGTAGGGCATATCTGTCTATTAATTTCCTCTCCATAGAGTGCGAATTACTGGCGTAATTATTATATAGAGTGAGATATAGTTTTCTTCTCCCTGTTTAAAGTCAGTTAAAAATTGGAAATTGATCAGAGATAACTGATTGACTTTTAAAACAAATGGGTAATTGCCTGTACTGTTTTTTATTGCTTGGAGCCTCTTATAAAAGGAAAAATGATAATGAATGATTTGAGTTGTAAGGTAGAAAGAATGCTGTCTTTAAGTTTTCACTTACTATAATTTCAATTTTATATTTTTCCTTCTCTAAAATAAATAAAAAGAATTGTCCCTCTTAATTTCTAGAGGAACCATGTAATTTTTTTCTATGAATGATTTATGATAGACATTAGGAAAGGGGTGAGTCTCCTTTAACCCATTAGATCCAGTTGTATTATGGAAATCACAGGGCGGAAAATACTGACAGTGGATTATGTAAGTGGCCAATATCCCGGGTATGCAGTGCGTAGGCTGGGCGAGTGCGAATATTCCTAATAAGAAACTATGCCTCCCCTTTGCAAAGATATTTTACGTAAACTTTTTTAGCTTTTTTGCTATTTCCTATTATCCATATTTGTCTTTTGATTTGCTTTATTCTGATGGTAAAAGATTATTTTTTCCTTGCACAAACTCCATATCATCTCTGTGTAGTAAATAACTCAGTGGTTAAGTCCCAATCACCACCCTGACAACTTCGTCACAACATAACACAATAAGAGTTTCTCCTACAACCTTTGAAGTGATTTCTTACCTTCCTTTCACCTTTTGTGCAACTTGGGACGACTGGTCTCAGGCTTTGCTGCATTGTGCTGGGGTGATACATTTTTCCTACATGGTTGTTTTAAAGGGTTCTCAATCTCCTTTTTCCCTACATTATGCTGTTGACCCTTTCCCCATGGACTATCATCACAAGGCTTCTCATGGGAGTGACTGTAGGACTCCATGTGCTGCAAGTTATAGCTAAAAAGAGCATCATGGCCAGATCATGGAACTAGTGGTTAATCCAGATATTCCATTGTGGGACCTTTCCATTACTTTGGCCTGGTGGCAGTTATGATTACCTACTCTGGTAAAATTGGCCTGGTTTTGCAGCAGTCTTGCTCTCATATGCATATTGCTGGCTGACTTTGATCATACTTCTATTGTTTGTCAGTACCTGAGTTAAACTTTGATGCTTATGGTCTTTGAGGCTGGTCATTAGGCCTTGTGTAATGCATTTTTGAATGATTACTTCATTTAGTACTAACACACATGTATCTTTTTCAAATAAAGATCATTATGATATTAAATAAGGGAGAGAAACTGGCATAGGAAGGAAGGATGGAAAAATAATTTTTCAGTGTGATATGTGACATTTGCCTTCAGCTTCTATCTTCTAGCTGGTCTTGTCTTGCATGAGTAGAGCATGCAGAGGGTAGAAGAAGTGAATTTTTTATTATTCTTATCATTCCTGTTTTTTAGGTGTAGCACATGATTAGAATCAGTGCAGTAGATATTTCCAGTCATACCTGAACACTGCAACTTTGCACTAGATGAAAAAAAGTAATTTCCATGGGAGTGTGTGGGATTATCAGGATGTATCTTTCTTTTTGTTTTCATCTTTGTCTTTGGATTGACTATGTATCGACTATGATTCCATGATACCAACTTGGTTGATGTTTCTGGACTTATTTAATTGTTATACCCTTAGGCCTCTTAAATGGAAAAGAGCATTTTTTATCCTTCAATTTATTTGTGTGTGTATGTGTGTGTGCGTGAGCATAGGTGTATGTGTTTGTTATGTTAACATTTGTTAATAATGTTCTCTCTCATTGTAGGCATTAGAGCAATAGTTCCCAACCCCATGGTTGCAACCCAAATGAGGGTCACTAAGGTTTTTCTGAGGGTCACCAGAGGGTCTTAAAAGAAAAATAAAAGAGTCCATAGCTGAATGTCATTAAAAGTTAATGTTTTTTATTAACACTCGTTTATTGAAATTCATTGTGCTGGTAATATAAGCCTATAAAAGTATAGAATAATGTAAGCTAATATACATCTGCAAGTATAACTACCATGAAAATATATAATACATGTTCACACATTTAGGGTTCTTTATGGTTGCACCCGTAAAAGTTTGGGAAACACTGCATTAGAGTATAAGGGTATCATTGTACTGTATATTGCTTGTTTATTTTCATGAGAAACATTGGCATGCATAAATACATTGCCATTTCATTGCTCCCTACAGTATCAGAAATGCATGTCCTCTTTGGACTTTTTTTTTTAAGCAGCTCAATATATTTTTTACTTTACAGGCTGATGGTCATGGTGAGGGATTTGAAAACCTACTCCAGTTATATGGCGAACAGTTGCTGGTACTGTGGAGAGCTACATTACTTTGCAAACGCATTTTGCTCTTCTCACCTCCTCCAATTGGCATGTTGTGCTCTAGAGTACACTGTATATCTCTTCTTGGATCACACACTACGCCCGGTCTGCCTTCTCAGCTATTGCGTCCACTATATTATGTCAACATAGCTGATGTAGAGACACTGCAAGAACAGCATGCCTACATAGCATGTGAGTTACTTAGTTCACTAGTTAAGTAAGCAATAGGAAAGGAAGTGATTTTCGGAAGTTATTGATTTTTGTTTTTATTTGCATATGTATTGAGTTTGAAGCATGTGCAGTTTTATATTTAAAAAGGTAAAACTGCTGGGATGTCAATACAACTAGGACCAATGAATATTGTTTTAAACTTTTTATTAGTTTGTCTGTTATATATGTTCTTCACTGTATTATTAAGTTTCAGTAATGTCTAATTGGTAATCATTAAAAATTGTTCTAATAATCTTTCAGGCACAACTGAAAAGATATTTGAAGAGAAGACAGGACTGTTGGACATATATGTGGATAATCAGAATATTCGCATTCCTGGCTCAATCCGCCACTTGCTCACAATAACTGCACAAGATCGGAAACGACTGGCCCAGTTACAGTGTATTGCACGAAGTTCAAGGAATTCAGTAGAAGAATTTATCAACTATTTCTCACAGTTAAATAACAAGATATTTTCTACCTTGTATATGATTAGTCAAAACGATGACAATGTATTAAAGAGGCATCACATAGAATCTATGGGCCTTCATCCTCAACATGATAGAGCTTTTGTATCAGAATTAGCCTTGACTCATGGTTTTGACATAGTGACAAGGAAGAGTTCATGGAAGTGTTGTCCATGTAATTATTGATTAAGATATCAGGTAGGATACAATTATAATGCTATTTGGTTCGGAGAAGCATTAGATTTTACTTTTAAGTTACGTTGTAGCATTATTAGGACTCTCATCCTGGATAAGTTTTATAAGTAACTGGAATAAGATAATACTAACAACTTGGGATAAAAGTTGACATTGATAATGACTGTGATAAAACTTGTATTCTCCTGTGCTGAGAATCTAAAGGATGTGAATAAGATTACAAAATGTGATAACAAGAAAAGAAAACCAAAGGAATGGATACCAGTTTATAGTTTATTTATTTGTTATGTTTGAAAGTTGTTGAATTGTTATGATTAACCTCTAACCTCTAGGGGATCTAAACAGTGACCTGCATCTCCCTTCAAACAGTTTTCATAATATCATTTATATTCTCACTTTTGTGTCAAAGTTACTAAACCACTTAACCCATCAACACTGGTATATTTTGAAGCCGAAAATAAAAGATTCCGGGCGGCTACAAAATCGGCGCACGGGGCTGGCCCAGACTCTACCCGCTCGCCAGCCGCAGCCCACTGCTGCATCGGACCGCGAGCCCTGATACAGTGTCACACTGACATATATGTTTATTTTTTCGGGTGTCTCATATGCGGGGCACCTGTCATTAGTGGGTTAAGAAATTTTAACTAACCATCAGAATACTTGCCAATCTTAACTCTCAACATAGCAAGTGGCTAAATGTTGAAAGGTAAGAATACCTCTAGTCCTGTATGGACTAGAGGTGAAAGGGCCTTGGCAGTCAGTTACATAAGTTGCATATATTTTATTTCCATAAAAATAAGTGAACAAAAATTTGTCTAGATGCTAATATTCAAGACAAGAAATATAAGAACTGATTAATCACACATCACTCTGAGAACCACCAGAAAAAAAGAACTTATAACATCCTCAAAGTGTTTGGGGTTTATCTTGTTATATGGTATTTTACATTTTTGATTAAAACATTGTTAAGCTTCTTGGAGGTTTTGTGTGGAATTCTTAATCTTGATATTGTTGTCGTTATTATTTTAGATATTAAGAAAATTAGAGGCATATTAGTTTACATTATGATTTAGTTACTGACCTGAATGTTTGACATATTGATGCACAATTTAACTGCTCAATATTCACTGTGGGTATACTGTATGTTGCATCAACACAACTATAGTACAACATAACCTCATGAAATAGCAAATGACCAACATGATGTAGAGACCAAATTAGATACTAATCTAGTGTGCCTATTGTAATATATTTTGTACAGTTGGCTATATTTCTCTTCCATTTTACTGGGTTTATATGGCATCAGAAGGATAAACTCAACCAGTAGTCAATATACTGCAGACAGTGTTTAATAATTTATGCATATGTGGATATATGATAAAAAAAAAAAAAAATGAAGACACCTGAACAAGTCAAAGAAAAAAAAAGTGTAATTTTTTTGGCAGTGTCTCTACATCTGCTATGTTGACATAATAAAGTGGACGCAATAGCGGAGAAGGCAGACCAAGGCAGTGTAGTATGTGAACCAAGAAGATATTTACAGTGTACTCTAGAGCACAACATCCCAATTGGAGGAGGTGAGAAGAGCAAAATGCATTTGCAAAATAATCTAGCTCTCCACAGTACCAATATCCACAGTATATATAAACTAACAAAGAAGGAAAGTGGACTGTACATGGAGGAATTCCAAAATGTGTGATATACTTTTGCAGAATATTAACTGTCAGTTATCTGCAGTTTTAGTCCTTCCACTTCAGATCATTCTTAATTATTATTATTATTATTGTTATATATTATTATACTTGTGAATTCTTATACTGTATTGATAACCAATATTTATTTTTATTTTTTTTTTTGTATTTGTAAATTTTATAGAATTCATTCCATGAAATAGATTATATATGTGTGTGTGTGTGTGTGTATGTATATGTACATATATATATATATATATCTATATCTATATCTATATATATATCTATATATATATGTACATATATATATAGATATAGATATAGATATAGATATAGATATATAGGTATGTATGTATGTATATATACATATATGTATACATATTCACAATGCTAGTGCCTAATTTACATTAATTTTATTTTATTCACATATTTTTACTTATTATTATCTTCTTTTTTAAAGGCATACATAAAATCTGTATAAATATTGTGTTCATCAAACACTGTGCCTGTGTGTTTTACCTTTGTCTTCCATAAGTAGATTTTATTTCTCTTGAGGTTTTAGGGACCTTTAGTCTTGTTTTCCATTTGCTTATTATATCACAATGCCATTCACAAGTCCTTTCTCCTCTGCCTCACCGTGTTATTTCCCTTGAATTTGTATTACCACTTTCTTTTCTCCTCTTTCTCCCTCTCCCTCTTTCTCCCACTCCCTCTCCATCTCCTTTTATTTCCCATCTCTCTTTCTCCTCCTTATTTGATGATTACTTGAAAATTCTAGTCTGCATAGGCATGATTATTAATCTGATACTTTTTTGAGAATCTGTCTTGTACCAGAGAGAGAGACCTGTAACCAACATTAAATTATTTAATTGTTTTTCGTGTCTCTGGTTCCATTGTGAATGATTGTATTGTTGAAAATGTTCAAATTCATTGATTATGAAAAATCCTACTCTTATTTTCAGCTCAGGATTTTTATTTGTGTGTGAAACATCAGCATCCAGTCATTACATAGAGGTGAAATTGGACTCACCATAGTTATTGCTGAACAGAAGATCTACCAGCATTTTTATGAACTTTGTTATTTTACTTTAGAATAACAAGATATTATGAGACAGTTCAATATAAAAGTCAAAATACGGTATATTATTCCACTGCATAAGTGAAAAAAAAGTTGGTCATTAAGATTTTAAATCTACGGTGTGCAATTCTCAAAATTTCAATTTTAGTTACAAACATAGATTTTTAATCAGATAGTCATAATGAATTAAAAAATACTGATTTTGTATGTCAGCAGTTGACTATTTAAGTTTAGTTCATATAGGGATTTTCTTTATTGCCAGCATTACTACTGCATAACAGTATAAGCACAGTTTACCCTCTACATTTTGCAGATTGTAATGCTACACAATCCTTCCACAATATTTTCGTCAGTACAAGATTTATAGTAAGGCTGTATATCGGCAAAACCCCTATATTAGGACAAATCTTGTAAAAATGTTGAATAGATAAGCATTACACAACAACAAAAGTAAAAAATTAAAAATAATGACTAGAAATCATTAAATGTCATGGATTTGCCTTCATGAATTTTAGTAAATATTCTGAGTAGAAAGTCTTCACACCTGAAAATAACTATTTCAGTTAGTAGTAAAATATACAGATAGTGAATGTTATTTGCAAAGATCTGTCCTGCATTAGTAAATTGAAAGTGGTTATCATGTCTTAGAGTAGATGTTAACAGAACCTATTTATCCAACCAAAGTATGTTTTTATCAACAACTAATCTATAACTGCACAGTAAAAATCCATATACAGCTGAAATTAAGGTTTAAAAAAAATGTTTTATTATGGAATACATTTGAAAGGTTGGTAACAGGAAAGCTAAGCAGTGGTTGATATTTGGATGCATGTCACTGTATATAATATATGATATATGAAATACTATACATTATAACATTTACTGTGGTGTAATGTCAAATTGTATTACACAGTTTGCATCAAAATCAACACATTCCATGTGCAAATAGATAAACTGTAGCTGACTCTAAGAGTACTTCCCATAATGTGAAAGTAGATATTGTATTTATGCCACACCCATCATACTTATTATTTTCTTGAACACCTGTTTGTCTAGTCTTATTACTTATTTATTAGTGTATTTGTAATCAGGTAAAGAGTTGGTGTCTGATAGATTCTGATTTTAGAGGTATTCATATTAAGCTTAAAGGGGTACTGTATTTTATATCCTCAATGATGCATTAAGGATTTGCATACCTAACTCATCTGAAGCCTGTGGCATGAATTGGTCTTTCTGTTGCTTGACATGTGCACTGGTAGTATTAGAGTTTCGCTGCAAGAGAGAGAGTACTTAATATGAGGCTTACGGATTATACCAAGATACTAAAAGATAAATAAGGACATTGGGTAAAAGTATGACCCTAACTCCCCCTTACCTCTTTCCTTTTTTACTAATCTCTGCTCTACTTCATTTAAAAGCTTCATTTACCCCCCTTTTTTCCCTTTTCACTTCCATACTGTCCTATAATGCTCTCTAATCTCTGACATCTAACACATTTTATCCAATTCTTTAGCTTTTTACCCTTTTTGTCACTACTTTACAATAGTGCTGTATAACCTATGTCTAGCACATTTATTTGTTTAACCATTAATCATGACCCTAACTTATTATTGTACTTTGAATCACTATCAAGACCAGCATTTGATCCATTCTGTAACATTGTCTTTATGCAATTACCAACATAGTAGAGTCGGTAAAAGATTTTTAAAAACTCATTTTTCATTTATGTTATTGTAAGATGATGATTTAACCTTATTTAAATTTAGATAACATTGTTATGGATTATGACATTTATTCAGGAGTGTCAACTTTTGATATAGAACTTTGTAGTTGACAACTGGCAGTCTCTGCATGGTTTGGCAGGAATACATTCCACAACTCTTACCAGAATTTTGTAATACTTGCATTGGCCTTGGAAGGCATACATCCAAGAATATACCAGTTTGCTGGTATTAACCATTTTAGCCAAGAGCAACCTTGCTGTGCTTAACTGCCATCTGGAATCAGATTTAAACATTGAGAGAGATTTGATCAGCTGCTGCCAGTTGAGCACGTTCCATTAGTGACTGAAATATTGCTTTAAGGTTCTGACCAAGTGTTCAGTAATTTGAGATTACATTTGTCCCAATATTGAGTCACCTTCAGTTTTGAAGAAGGGACAAATAGTTTATTCCACATATTTATTACTAAAGGACAAATAGTTTATTCCACATATTTATTACTAATAATATTGCATGTGATCATATCATATACAATCATCTCTCAGAGAAAAATAACAAATATTCTTTTGTATCTGTAATATTAGTCAGGAGGACCAGTAGATGTTCATAAAACAGTATTTTATATTATGAGTTGGTTGTTTTATATAATGGACATTTCATATATTCAAAGATGATGCTACACTACATCATATAGATATTTTAACCAGTTTGTATATGAATGTATAGAACAAGTTTGTAATAGAATGAATTTTATATTAAGTAAGAGGTTTGTGATCTTGAACAGGCTTTAATTAGTTATGCATTACCAAGGATAGTAAGGATTTAGATTTTTCATATATTTTGTATTTTGTTGATATAAGATATTCTGGTATTTATCTTCCTCTGGTTTTGATGATAAAAATAAACAGTGATGTAAACTCTTAATAGTTTTTGTTGTGATTATAAAGAAGACTAATTTACTTACAGTGTTAGAGAAGGGGAAATTTAAAAGTTACAATGCCTTGCATATTATTAATGTTTTTTATGTAGAAATTATGTCATGAATACTTTGCTGTATATACAAGCAAAGTCTCAGGAATTGTTTTAATAGGTGAAATGTTTTTTATAATGTAAAAGAACACAAAAAAAATCTTTATTTAATATGTCTTTCATTTTTTAAACCCTTTGTATGTGCCATTTATTTAATTTACTTTACTAAATGTTATTGAACATACACCTCTGTGTGTGTGTGTGCCTGTGTGTGTGCCTGTCTGTCTGTCCTGTCCTGTCCTTCCTGTCTGTCTGTCTGTCTGCGTGTTCTTGTCATATATACTCGAAACTGGTCCAGTACATTTCTTGTTGTGTGAAGATATTCATACATTTCTCCCTCTCTCTCTCCCTCCCCCC